TGTGTGTGTGTGTGTGTTTTCATATATATATACATTAGTTAGATAGATAGATAGATAGATAGATAGATAGATAAATAGAGAGAGAGTCCTGGGTCACTATGAGGTCTTGACTTCCTAGGTTCCTCACTGGGACCACCACATCCATTTGTCCTGGCTCGCTAGCTCACATTTACCCACTTCAACTGTTCTTCGCTCCTTTGAGACAATACCCTCTTGTTTTCTTACTACGCACCAACCTTCTTGCTTCCCTCCATCCTGGACTCAGTGGCCCACTTCAGAGTCACTCACTCTCAAACATTTGGAGCTCTCTTTCTCCTCTCTCCTAATCCCTTGTACTGGCCCAGAATGAAGTCTTCATCCAGACCCACCAACCATCCATCTGCAGCCCGGGACTGAGTGTGGCTGGCAGGTCCTCAGCGCTGCCCCACAGGTCATACTGTCTCTCTCAGAGTTCACGTCCCCACTCCCTTGGCTACATTGCCACACATTTCTCCTTCCCCTCCAGCCTGTAAGCCTTCCTCTCCACCCCGTCTCATTCCCCACAAATCCTTGATGAGGACCCTGTGTATCACAGAGCCAACTTTTTGAAACATGATTTTGTACCATATCACTTCCCTGCTTAGAAATGTGAAGTGGCTTCTTGTAGAATTAAGCTCCTCCCTGGGTCCTACAAGACTCCTCATATACTGACCCGGCCTCTCCGTGTCCTCACACTCACTCCCTGCTACCCTTGGGGCTTCGGTTAGTTCCCACATAGACCAGCTACTTCATGCCTTAAGCCCTTTGCTCATGCTGTTCCCTTTGTCTTTAATGCTTTTCCTATACACTCTCCTCCACATTGTCAACATTCTGCTTGGCTGACTTTGTCTCAGCTTAAATATCACCTCAGAGAGTCTTCCCTAATCCCACCATCATCATTCTCTGTTGTCTTCTACCGGAACTCACTTTTGTGTACTCTGTAGCCGTGTCTACCCAGTGTCTTGATACTGATTTGTTCGTTTGCTTCTGTCTGCCATTTGCACTGGAGTATAAACAGGGCAAATGCTGTGGTGTCTTGCATGTAACTATGATGCTGGTAGCTGTCCGACTGGTATTTCAAATACTAACAGGGTCACTCAGGGTGGAGCTTCCAGACTAACACTGACTAGGAGAAAAGGTCTGGTAACTACTTCTGAAAACTGAAGCAAGTGAAAGTCCTACGGATCGCAACAGATGATTGTCAGATAGAGCTGGGAAAGGAGCCCCCCTAGGTTAGAAGGCAGTCAGAATCCACAGTGGACACATGATGGAGTCACGCATACCAGTTATCATGAAGATGGTGTCGGGGACTAGACAACATTTCAGTTTGTGGGACGTGTGGTCGCCATGAGTCGGAGCCAAGTTGACAACAATAAACCAGTTCCTGACACATGGAGGGCATTCACTAATTCCTGACAGAATTAACATCTGTAACAGCCTCCATTACATTGTGCAGTTCATGTTGCACGACACGAGGGCACCTGTGGAAAGAATTTAAGGAAGTTCATGAATGCACAGACCGGGTCTGACATTGGCAGAATGAATCACTTCGTAACACACTATTACCATAGTCAGTGCTGAAAGGGACTTAGGAGAAGGGGGAAGGCCTGTGAGGAGAATGTGTCTCCATGGGGAGGAAGCACAATAGGTGTTTGGAACAAGGCCCCCACATACCTCTGAGGCCACTTACAGTATAGTAGAGCAGGTGACCCAGAGAAGGGCATCTTACATCAGACTGTAAGAAACTCGGCAGAAAGCCAGAGGAATGCTTGCTGACATGGAGCTACCAACCGTAATGTCAGCTGTTTGAATCCACCAACCGCTCCGCTCAAGATTGACAGCCTCTGAAATCCTATCCAGAATCACTGTGCATTGGAACCAACTCCATGGCACATAACAGCAACAGTTTTGTTCCAGATGCTTTATGCACATTATCTCATTGACTTTCCAGAAACTTTGAGATAGGGCCTTTAGCCCCATTTTATAGCTAAATAAACTGAGGCTCAGCAAAGCCATTTATTTGTCTAAAATCAAACAGTACATAGCAGGGCTGGAATTCAAACCCAGGGCTATCTGGCACTAAAGTCACCTAATTTAATCATTATTCTGTCCCTCTTTTCTGGGACACTCCCACTGGAAAAGCTTTGATTAAATACAAGGTAGAGAATGTTCCTTCAATGTTCCCACACAGTCATAATTGGTCAGAGGAGTATGCAAATGTAGAAGGACTAACGGAGCCCATCCATGAAGGCCCTTAGCTGTCACTGGGAGCTCGCCCTGGTCCTCCTCCTAGACAGTGCCTGCAGGGGGAAGGGGGGCAGCCTCCAGCTCTCCCTCTAAATACCATCCCACAGCTCTAGGGTGGGTCTCAGACTCTGTCACCTGCTCTGCTTCCAGGCTTCCACATTTCCCACCCTTCCCTTCCCCACAGGCTCGCTTCACACACGGCATGTTCACCGTGTACCCTGGATTTGGCTCCATTCCATCTGGAGGGCAGCAGGTCATCACCGTAGACTGTGTGGCTGACCCCGTGGGAAGATGTGAGGAGTTTATAGGCATCGACATCTCCGACCGAGATCCAAGAGACCAGCCTGCTGGCATTCCTTACACTCTTTTGGCTGAAGCCTGTCTGCCAGGTACTGGGCACGCAGCACCCCTTGAAAGATGGATTTTTTTTACACTACCCTTCCCCCAAGCAAATCTATTCAGTGGTGTCTAGCAGTTGTGTGTGGCTGCTTCCTTGGGGACCTTAGGCCTTTAGAGCCTTCCGCCATATTTGTTGCTAAAAACAAGCCATGCTCACCAAGGAGAGGACATGTAGCTTTAAACTCCTAGCCCTTGGATTTAGGTCCTGGGTTCTGAGATGAGTAGTAATATCTGGGAATCATGGTGAGTTGGGATATGGCACAGGATCCAGGAACACAGAACCCTGCTTAAGTCTACAGGCCACTCGAAGGCAACATACATACAAAGAACTTTTCATTTGGCTCAGCTCTAAGCCCCCTGCAAAAGCCCAGATGAAGCACAGAGAGAATGCCTCTTGCTTTGGCTGTGAGTTTCCTGTAGCCTCAAACCAAAACATGTCCAATCAATGCCTCTTTCCCTCCTAAGTCCAACCCAACTTTCACGTGTACTCCTCAGCAGTGGGAGGAAAAGGCTGATTCAAGTATGGCCATCAGCAAGAACAATACAAAAGAGGAAGAGAAAATAGAATTGTCCCATCACTCATTCCCCCTTGTGTGAATTCCCCTACCTCTCCTATATGCTTCTATGTCGTCAGAACCCCAAACTCCAAACTAGAAATCAAAGCCAGGAATCTGGTCTTCAAGTACCAACTCGCCATCTTCCCTCCATTCCCCAGCCTTCGTGACAGACAACAATGCCTTGATATTTGAAGAGCACCAGATCTGTTCCAACATCAACCTGTACCACATCCTACAGACCATAGAGACAAGGGGATTGTTCGTGGAGGATGAGAACAAGTTCATCTTCTGTAATGTTCTGGTGGGCCATCAAGCGAAGGCTCGGTTCAAAATCAGCAATATGGGAAAGATTGCCTGTGATGTGAACATTGTGGTGAAGCCCATCTCCAATAAGGTATGATGCTTCAGTCCATCAGCGGCCCACCTTACTTGGCATACAGCCAATGAGAGAGCTCTTAGAAACCCCTACTCGGAACTTCTAGATATGAATGGAAGTTGTCTATAAGTTATGTGACATAACCAGGCAGTTGTCCCTGGATCATGGACCTAACATTTGTCTCATTGGTGTCTCATCTTGGTACCTCCGTGATAAGCTAGTATACACCAACTCCTTTATCCACCAAGCCCTCGCTGTGTGCCTGGGGTAGACAAAGCGTTATGAGGAGACCCACACACCTCTCCGAAGATGTCTAGTATATGTGACTGAGCTGGCCACATCGCCATAACATGGATTTATTGTCATTTATCCTACTTGGAATTCACTAGACATCTTGAGTCAGTAGATTGCAACGTTGGGTCAATTTTGGGAAATCCCTAGATATGTGTTCAGAGATGAATAGCAGTTTCAGACAGGCCTGCATATTCTTTGGGAATGGGAGCTATGGAAGATGGCAAATTATAAGGAGAAGGTGGAATGATGAATGTTTATTGAGTACTTCCTGTGTATCAGGCACTGTGCCAAATGATTTACATTTATGGTTTCATTTAATCCTCGTAATTCTTTCAGAGTTTATATGTTGGTGGTGGTGGTGGTGGTGGTGCCCTGGTGTGGCGCTGTGGGATAAAGCACCAGACCACAAAGTCAGTTTGAACAAGGCTGGTAGTTCAAACTAACCAGCCACTCCTCAGACACCCTATACAGGGTCGCTATGAGTCAGAACTGACTTGACAGTGTTTTTGTTACTTTCCCCATTTTATAGTTAATAAGGCTCAGAAAGGCTAAGTTCTTCCTGTAGTTAACCGAGTTTAGGGGTGTAGAGCAAGACTTGAAGCCAACCTTCAACCACATACAAGGTAGACATCGGTGTCCATCTCAGGTTCTCTGTGACCTGAAATTGTCTGTGCTGTGAGGGAGAACATACTGAGCTCCTTTTTCCTCACAATGGAACAGAAAATTCAGGATACCGAGAGAGAGACCTTAATCAATGGGTTTCCCTTGCTCACCCTTAATTTCCAGTCAGATGTGCTGCAAAGGCTAGTCTTATCTTGGCTGCCTCCAGCTCGTGGCCCTTGTGCCCCAGAGCTGGCATGGTCCGTGAGGTGATGGCAGTGGCGATTAAGTTCACAGAGGGGTTGACCTCAGCCTACAGCCGAGCATAGTTTGCATTGCTGGCCAGCTGTCACTGGGAAGGGATAGAGTTGGTATACTCTTTAACTCCTTCTGTGACTCCATTACTCTCTGACCTCATTTGGGACACTGAGAAACAGTTTTCTATTGTGTACTTGTTGTTGTTGTTAAGTGCCATCGAGTCGATTCTGACTCATAGGCACCCTGTGTAGAGTTTCCAAGGAGCGGCTAGTGAGTTTGAACCCCTGACCTTATGGTTCAAACCAATCTTGCCATCCAGTGCTTTATCGCACAGCACCAAACATTAGAAAGAGAGCAAAGCTGATTTCTAAACAGAGACTTTAATCAAGATTTTCAGATTTTGCTTCCTAATTTGCAGACTTAAAGTTTACCCCTTGAAGAGAGTAAAGGAACTTTACTGCTCTCAGTTTAAGAACAGGAGTGAACAGTCAGTCTTGTATCCACTTGCTTCCCATGAGAATTGGAAATTCTTTTGAAACTGTGCTGGGGGTCTCAGCCCCAGTGTTGTGGATTGTGTCTACAGTCTTCCCAAACTGCTGCCACAAGAAAGGAACAGATACATTGTTGTGGAGGTGGTCTAAGCAAGGCTCTTAGAGTTACAAGGAGCAGAAACTCACTCAGGTTAGCACAACAAAGCAAAGTTTCTGGCAATGAATCAGAGCTCTCAGACACAGTATGGAGCCAGACCTCTTTAGAGCTGGACCTGCCACCTGAAATCCAGCATTCAGAAGGCCAGCAAAGATTTCATCCACCCTTCAGGGGCCATGCATGGTCCCTCACTCATGGTGTCTCGGCATCTCTGTACATTTGCTCCAGTCTCTAGCTTTCTCATTATGCATATGGTTCATACCTCCAGCTCAGCTCCACATCAACAGCCACTAGTGATCTTTGGGCAGCTCAGTTTAGTTGAGGTAGAAAGCTGGATGGATGGGTGGGTAGGTAGGTAGATAGGTAGATAGGTAGTCATAAAAAGGAAGGAAGGAAGGGAGGGAGGGAGGGAGGGTAGGAAAGGTAACCATCTGATTGGCTTAGTTCATCTATTTGAAGCAATGTTCATGGGTCTAGACAAATTCAGCCAGTTTATTATTCAAGGTTGGGTCCCCCACCTAGGCTGCTCCTTCCCAGGGACCATGTCTAAACAGGCAGTGAAACGTCTACCACAAAGCTTAGAAGAGGGTCGCTCACAACAGAGGCAGATGAGCAGCAAGTCCTGTGTAAATGCAAAGCACCTAACCCAGCCTGGATTTTGCTCCCTCTCCCCAGGCCATTGCCCGCATCAATGACATCTTTGAAGTGGAACCCAACAAGATGTGTGTTGCCAGTCGCTCACATGCCTTTGCCACAGTGTCCTTCACCCCACAGACCATGCAGACCTATCAGTGTATCTTTGAGGCCACCCTGGATGGCTTACCCAGGTACCAGCTCCCTCCCCTGCAGCTGGACTGTAGACTCAGCCCCTCTATGACACCCTCCTGCCAGGTCAGGCTGACCGGTCTATCTGACTGTTCCCTGCTGCAGCAACCTGATCAAGAACCGAAGCCTGGCCTTTGACATCATGGGAGAGGGTAACCTCCCTCGTGTAGTCGTTGTGCGGCCAATTCTCCATAACCAACTTGGACACCCCTTGCTCCTCTTTAAGAGACTTCTCCTTGGTCATTCAGAGAAACTACCTCTCATCCTCAAGAACAATGGCACCATTCCAGCCCAGGTAATACTGGAGGGTGAAATAGGGATGGAAGAGGGGAGGATACAGTCAGCAGGTAAACTTCTTACATCGATGTCTTTCCCATCCCTAATATGCCCTCCTCTTTGATGGCTTAATATATTAGCCTGAGACTAAGACACAGAATAGGCAGAGGAGAGCCAGGCATGGCCTCTGCCCTAAACAAACGTAGGGCAGTGGATTGCACACTGACTACTGCAAAGGAGTATGCAGTGGTGGACACAGAGCTCACGAGGACTGTGGGTATTCTGATTGTCATCATCATGTATTTGGTTTGTTTTGTTCATTTTCTTTCTGTCATGAACATTTCTTTGGTAATAAGGAAAACGCCATTGAACGAACTTCATTGGCGTAGAAATGCAGGGTCGAAAGGGACTTCTGTTCTATAATTAAATTATGTTTCTATTTCATGGGGGCGGGGGGGAGTGATACATTTTGTGAGCATTATACAAAGAGTCCTGGTGTGATGTTGTAGAGTAAGCACTGGGCTGCTAACTGCAAGATCGGCAGTTCAACGCCACTGGGAGAAAGATGAAGCAGTCTGCATCCAGCAAAATATGAAGCCTTGGGAAGTGTGGGGGGCAACTCTGCACTGCCCTGTAGTGCTGCGTGAGTCAGAATCAATTGAACAACAGTGAGTTTAAAAGTCAGAGAGCTAGCCTTCATCTGATCTTCCTTCCAGTGATCTAGGAACCTTTTATCCAACTTGCTCAGATGCACACTTTGGTTTTATTCTTATCTTGGCAGTATGTTCAACGTTGCAATTTCAGACAACTAATGCTTAGTACCCTGGAGAGATTGACTTTCACAGGGCTTTTGGAACTCCCATACATACAAGTTCTCAGAGAATTATGAGTATCCATTGCCATCTTATTTGTCTATCATATTCACGGAGGCTTCCAAAAGTTCATGGAAAAATTGCATTAAATTTGCACTCCGTTTTTCCGTGAATGTTTTTGACACCTCCTAATTTTTTACAGGGGTCCTGGTGTGGCACTGTAAGATAAGCACTGGACCTCAAGGTCAGTTGGAACCACAGGTTGGTGATTCTAACTCACCAGCCATTCCTTGGAGACCCTATGAGTCAGAACCAACTCAATGGCACTAAACAACAACAAAATTTTATAACTGCCTCTGTCAATAACAGATGCCTTGGCAACCCTGTTTAGACACAATTTGGCTTTGTAAGTGCCATCGAGTTGGTCCGACTCATAGAGACCCTGTATAGGGTTTCCAAGGAACAGCGTATGAGTTTGAACCACTGGCTTTATCCCACTGCCTCACACCAGGACAAATTCACCTTTACTCCCTGGGTCTCAGGTTCCTTACCTGAATGACAAAGGCCGACATGACTCCATTTCCCTCTGTCCTCTTTATGTCTAATATTTATTCCGTTTCTCTCTGAAAAGTGAGTGCTAACCATGATAACTTATTTGGGTACTTCCTTCAGTCTCACTCCCGACTGAAAATCCATGAGCAGCCTGCACATCTAATGTTCAGTACTGCTTTCCTCATGCCAGCTGCATGTTGACTTGTGGGACCAGCTAGGAGTCTTCTCCCTGAAAGGGAAAGCCACTACCTCCTACATCTACATCTCAGAGGAAAACAAACCAAATGAAAAAGGTGAGCTGGGGGTGAGAGGTGGGGGAGGTACCATCAGGAGATCAGTGTGAATTCATTAGGACCCCAGTCAAAATAGGCTGCCCACCCACTCTTGTCACCAGTGGCCTCTCTAACTAGGGCTGCTTCCTTCTGAGTCAGCCCCTTTATTGATGCATTTCTTTTTATCCTGGTTTGAAATCATCTCTTATTTCTTTGCAGCCAAGAAAGCTCACACGGCCGCCCTCATTGTTTCTCCTGGAGAGACCGCTGAGTTTGATGTACTGTTCCACTCTCTAAAGGTTGGGAGAGTGTCAGGCACCATCCACTTGTCGGTGATCGACAATCAGTACGAGGAGACCATCATCCACATGGTGGGAGAAGGCTACAAGGACGACATCACCTTGGAGAACATCCATGGGCTGGTGGCTTCCACCAACCAGGAGGCTTCCGAATTGTCTGAAATTCTGGAGATGTTCCACGAAGACATCATGGAAAGCATGGTAACAGGTGGGAAAAGCAGCAGTGAGGTGTCAGCTGCTGATGGCTCTTGGGTCATTTCAAAAGGAGAGTGACGTTTAATAGCAGACTGGCTGGTTTCCTGGGAATTTAGGGATGAATCTCCTCTTTATCACTGTCTGCTTTGTGGTCGTTGCAATTCATTCATCCATGTGCTCAACAGACACTACACCACACTACGCCCTGGAGTTATAAAGATGGATGAGAAACAGTCTCTGTCCTCAAGGAGCTTGCATTTTCATAGCCATGTATTCCAGTTGAGTTAATACATGACTGAATAGCTTTATTGTCTTCCCAGCTCACAGCCTTTCTCTGACTGCATTATCAGATCTGTCTATCCTAGATGCTCTAGGAGAACGGATGTGCTTGCTTCATTAGAGGGAGGGGGGTGGGTTTGTGGTCTCTGCAGCAGCATCCTCTGCAGCCTCCCTACTCAGGGTGCCCTCTGAGGGCCTACAGCATTTGCATCATCTGGGAGCTTGTTTAAAAACAAAACAAAAAGTGCGGTTGAATCCATTCCAACTAATAGGGTAGGATAGGGTAGCGTAGAGATGTCCCACAGGGTTTCCAAGTCTGTCATCTTTATAGAAGCAGAGACTGCCCCAGATTTCTCCTGCTGAGTGGCTGGTAGGTTCAAACCACCAGTGTTTTCATTAGCAGTTGAGCCCTTCCCCACTGCGTCATCGACTCTTGGGGAACTTGCTACAAGTGGGACTCTCAGGCCCCACCTCAGACCTACTGAATCAGTCTGCATATTAACAAGATCCCAAGACGATTCTTGTGCAAATCAAAGCTTACCAAGGACTGCTCTACCTAGCTTCACTTGGCTGACTATTCCTTGGGATTGAGAAAAAAATACATGCTTCTTTATTATTTTTTGAAAAGCACTGTGTGGTTAATTGTTACATAGTGAGTTATAAGCCCAGTCCAACTGTTTTCTAGGAGAAGTCCTGGTGTAGCACTGTAGGATAAGCACTGGGCCACAATATCTATTTAACCACAAGATGGCGGTTCAAACCCACCAGCCGCTACTTGGAACCCCTAAACAGGTTTACTACGAGTCAGAACTGACTCAGTGGCACTTAATGGCAATAATAATTGTAGTTTTGAGGTGTGGTGAAATTCATATTTCACCCCCGTTTCCTGCTTCATTTCCTGCTTCCAAGTGGCACACAGGGACCAGCCGGAGTCAGCACTAAAGCCTAGTTCAGAAATCTGGTTTCATACCTATAATAAGGTTGTCGGATGTAGCAGGTAAGAATAAATTGGAATTTAAGATAAACAGTGAATATATTTCTAGTCTAAGTATGTCCCGTACAATGTTTTGGGACTTTGTTGTTGTTGTTAGGTGCCATTGAGTTGGTACCAACTCAAAGAGACCCGATGCACATCAGAACAAAACACTGTCCTGTCCTGTGCCAATTTTGGGACTTACTTACACTATGTTCATATGTAGTGTGGGGCCTCCTGTATTTTTATCTGGTAACCCTAACTCTTACAATGTTGTCTCACCAAGTAAATGGTGCTTGTTGGAAGCATAGGTTTTCTCTTGTACAAATGGAGATGAGGGCTAAGGCAGCTCTGTGAGTGGAAGATGGATGGATGGATGGATGGATGGATGGATGGATGGATGGATGGATGGATGGATGGATGGATGAATGGATGGATGGATGAGAAGGTAGATAGATGGGTGGATGGATGGAAGGATAGCTGGATTGGAAGGTAGATGGGTGGCTGGCTGGCTGGATGATGAATGGATGGAAGGATGGATGGATGAATGGAAAGTTAGATGAGTGGATGGATGGATGATGGAAGGATAGGTGGATAGATGATGGGAAGGTAGATGGATGGGTGGATGGATGGATGGATGATGGGTGGATGGATGGAAGGATGGGTGGATGGATGGATAGATGAGTAGGTAGATAGATGGGTGGATGGATGGATGGATGAATGGAAGGATGGATGGATAGGAAGGTAGATGGATGGGTGGGTGGATGGATGGATGGAAGGATAGATGGATGGGAAGGTAGATAGACAGATGGATGATGGAAGGATCGATGGATGGATGGATGGGTGGATGGATGGATGGATGGATGGGTAGGTAGATGGATGGCTGGATGATGGATGAGTGGATGGGTAGGTTCGCATGGGAAGAGGACTTAATCTTGCAATTCAGGGTTTCCAAGTTTGCAAATACAACAGTCCAGGAAAGGAGGGACTATATGAGGATGAAGTATAGTACCTATCAGGTCTGCATCCTCAGGGAGGAGAGCCCAGGAGGAGACCAGAGAGGACTTGCTGACCTTCTGCTTCTGTCCCCTAGCTGCTCTGGTGGACCACATCCAGTTTGGGGACTGCCACATTGGCAATGCCTATACCGTGAGCTTCACCATCACTAACCATAGCCAAGTGACTTTGATACGGTTTGAATGGCCCATGTTAGCTACACTCTCTTTCTCCCCACAGGTAAGTAAAAGCCATTCACTCTTTTCTGGACCCCTTAGGCCTGCGGCAACCCTGATTTGATTGTCCCATGTGTTCCTATGGATTCAGGGTCTGCTTCCTGAGAGACGTCCTGGAACTCATTCCTCATTCAGACCTGGTGCTGGAGAGCTCAGTCTGTGTCCTTTTGATTTAAGGCGGAAGTGCAGATAATTAAGTCTGGCAAGGCTTTTGCTAGGTTGATGCTGAGAAATTCCATAAAGGTTTCATTGGATGAATACAGGTCCCAGCCTTCCATCCCACAGTGTAAACCTGTGTTCCTCTAGTTGTATGTTCTTTAGAACATTAGTTCTGCAGAGTAATTGACCAAGAACTAAAAGGTGGATGGCAGGTTCTGTAGACAACTGAGATTCAGAAATGTTGCAAGTCACATCTGTCTCTTAGAGATTCTCAATGTTCTCAGCATAGTAAAATCTAGTCAACTTTGTCTGTCCTGGAATTTCCCAAACATATTTCTCTCCAAGCCCCCTTTTCTTACTACTCCTTTTAGCATCTTACAGCCGGCATTTTATCAATTGCTCACTGAAGCTCCACACTGAACAAGGCTTAGGACATTGTAGCAGATCCTAGCCAAGGTCAGGAGTTGCTGTTTGCAGACAGTTGGCTTTTGGTCTCCCAGGACATTAGTATTCACTGCCTCCTGCTCGATTTACCCAGTCACCAAGTCTGCTCAACCATAGTACGCCAGGATTATGTCCCCCTTAAATCTTTGAGTACTGTCAGCAAGAAGTTCTGCTGCCTGGAGGGAAGATAAAAAGTTCATTAAATCCTCTGATAGATTAGAATCTAATCCTGAATAGACTCTAGTGTGAACTGAGTGTTTAGTATATGCCAGAGGTAGTGGCAAAACCCTTACATGGGTTAATTCATTTAATGCTCACAACAACCCTATAAGGTAAGTAGTAGTATTATCTTACTGATATGGGAACAGATACTGTATAATCTAATAGGGTAATCTAAGTCTGAGCATTATCTTTGTTAACAAAATGTTAGTCAGAGATGCCAGAGAAGCTTCTTAAGGTCCATATACACATCCTTGCATGCACAAACATCCCTGCACATGTACGTCTATGTATGTGTGTGTATACATACATTATATATATATAATATATATAATAGTATGTATGTATGTATATAGGAGTCCTAAGGAGCTCTGGTAGTATAGTGGTTACGAATTGGGTTGCTAACCTCAGGGTCATCAGTTTGAAACTACCAGCAGTTCCACTGGAGAAAGATGAGGCTTCCTACTCCCGTAAAGATTTACAGCCTCGGAAACCCTGTGCAGGGTCGCTATGAGTCAGAACTGACTCAGCGACACTTAACAACAACATCTGGAACTAAGACACCTGAGAGTCTCCTAGCTCTTCCAATACCAATGGTGCAACCTTGACCACATTACTTAATCTGTGTTGTTTCTTTGTAAAATAGGGGTAATCACTACACCTATCACATAGGGTGGTTGTGAGATTTACAGAATTGTATAAAAGGTTAGGATGCTGCCTGACAAGAGTAACAGTTTGGTAAATGTTAGGTGATGTTTTCATGATCATATTTCTATCTAAGAGCCTCTTGAAAATATTTTAGTCAATCTACATAACAGTCTGAAATGATACATTTTGGCCACGGCTTTTGGCTTCTTCCACCCATTCTCTAGACTGTCACCACCAGGTATTAAGAGTTTTCAAGATGAACTCCCAAAATTACTAATACCAGGCTCTTCCTCAGATAGGCCACCTCCACCCCGGATGTGCCAAGGACATAGTAGTGACCCTGAAGTCAGACGTGCCCATCATCCTGAAGAAGATGGGGGTCAAGTGCAAGCTCTCCAAGATTGTATTTCAGCTCCCTGCGGATCAGGTTCCTGACTGGGATGACCGCATGCGCACAGTCAAGTGGGTAGATGTGAATAAGAGCACATCTGGGGCTTTCAGCACAAAAAGAAAAGTGAGTAAGGACATCAAATACAAATCAGACCAGGCTGCTGTGCTTAAATGCACACTGCTCTCAGGTTCAACTTCTCATCATTTCCTCCTTTTGTGGAAAAAAGAAAAGGTTTCCATCTCTTTCAAAAGAGTCAAAGTGAACTTTCACAGTTACTACCCTGTCGTTCATACGCATACAAAAGTATCACACATCTTCATTGGTAGAGCTTTTGCTTAAGACTTCCTGTCTGGTTGAGCATGTCCCCCACCTGATTCTTTAAGGACATCGTAGTTCATCTTTTAGTGATTTCCGTCTCCCTCAGCTGCCAAGAATTGTCTTGACTGTAATGTTTGATCCATGGTAGTGGATCTCAGTTTTGATCCATGCATGCTTTTCTTACTTATTCTTTGATTAGTTTCTTTTTAGTAACATATGTAGAGACAAACCCGTATCTAACACATGAAGTAGAACATCGAGCACCTGTGTGCAGCCGATCTCATCATCCTTTTCTGAGTCATTCCTCCCTCATTCACATAAACTCACTCCCCCGAATCTCTCAAGATGCTGTTGACACTTTTCTCTTAAAGGAGTATAATGTATAGTATAATAAAAATAGACATTTTTACTCATTAAGCTAAACTATTATTTGGTTTTAAGAAGGCTTAATATCAGGTGAGATTTTTGGTTTATGGTTTAAAAATAATCTCAGGGCAATAATTTCAGGGGTTCATGTACCCTCTGAAAACCTGGAGTCTGAGGAATTGACATTTTTAGAATGTTAATTTGCCTTTTCCATTAGCAAATTTTATTTCTACATTTTATGCAGGTTTTCTTCTCAGTTTCTTTGCTACTGTTTTGTTTCTTTAATAGTTGTGGGACATTTCAGGTTTTTCATTTCATCCTGAGTAAATTTTATTAAGTTAGTTTTTTCTAGGTATTTGTTCTTCAACTAAGTTTGAAGAAAAGGAAACCACTAAAGGATGAAGTACGATGTCCTTAAAGAACCAGGTGGGGGACATGCTCAACCAGACAGGAAGTCTTAAGCTAAAGCTCTACCAATGAAGATGTGTGATACTTTTGTATGCGTATGAACGACAGGGTAGCAATATATATATATATATATATATATATATATATATATTCATAAAATTGTTCACAATGTTTTTCTTGGTCTATTTAAGTTTGTAGAATCTTTGGCTATGTCTCCAGTCTTACTCCTGATATTGATTATTTATATTTTCTCCTCTTGCTCAGTCTTACCAAAGGTTTTTAGGTTTTTTCCCCCAGATAAACCACTTTCAACTTTGTTGTTCTCTATGTTAGGCTTGGTTCCTATATAATTGCTTTCTGATTTTATCTTTCTGATTTCCTTTCTTCTACCTTGTCTGGAATTCACCCGATTCCAAAACTCATACCAATATAGCTCTAAGATTCTCAGTAACTTGTTCTTTAAATTTTTTTTCCTTCTCCATTCCCTAAATAATTTACGTTTGCCCTAATAATTTATCCTGAATCAGTGTTCGCTTGTGTGGGTAGAATAGAGCACTGCGTTCGCCCCTCATTATTCCTGTGAGGAGGCTGGCTCTGCATCCCTGTGGACCTGGCTGCCTTCGTTACAGGTGATAGAGACAGATCCCGAACCTGCCCACACTGTGCTGGAAGATAACTACAGAGAGCTGCATCTACAGATCAGCGCCAATGTGGATTTTGCTTCATACCAGTTCCAAACGACGGATGTGCACTTTAAGGATACGCTGGTTTACCAGACCCGAGTGTTTGAGTGAGTCATCCAAGCCTCACAACATTCATTAGTCCTTCTGCTTCTTTATCTAAAGACACACAGTCACCGAGCGTTTATTTACTCACTGTTTACTACCACATATGGAGTCCTGGTGTGGTGCTACAGGATAAGCACCTGACTGTAAGGTCCATTGGAACTGCAAGGTCCATGGTTCAAACTCCTTAGAAACCATATACAGGGTGGCTATGAGTTGTAACCAATTCAACAGCACTTAACAACAACAACATATATGTGTGTATGTGTGTGTGTATATATATATATATGGAGCTCGGGTAGCATAGTGGTATATATTGTTATTGTTGTTGTTGTTGTTGTTATATGCCGTGGAGTTGGTTCCAACCCATAGCGACCCTGTACAGGGTTTCTGAGGCTGTAAATCTTTACGGGAGCAGAAAGCCTCATCTTTCTACCGCAGAACAGCTGGTAGTTTTGAACTGCTGAACTTGCGGTTCGCAGCCCGATTCGTAACCACTATGCTACCAGAGCTCCTATATATATTGATGAGAATATTTCAGTATTTAGCACTTGAAATCATCCTATGGCTGCCTGCACTCCATGGCACTCAGCAGTGAGCCCTCAGAGTGTATTTCTGTCATCCTGGACTCAGCCTGTTCATCTGAAAAACTGCTCTAAGAAAGGAAACAAAATCTTCTTCACATGACAGTACCTCCCTCAGGTACTGAAATCCTCAGGTACTGAAATCATCTTGCACCAGAAATGTCCTGGGGATCAGAAGTTTTACCCCTGGCCAAGAAACAGACTTGAATGCTAATTACTTTGAACTCAAACTTAGAATCGATTGAGCCTTTCTCTGCCTCTAGTTTCCCTGGTGTCCTGGTGCTGCGTTGAGGGATCAGCACTGGACTGCTAACTGCAGAGTCAGTGGTTCAAACCCACCAGCTGCTTCTTGGAAACCCTAGACAGGGTGTTGAGTCAGAACCGACTCCACAGCATTTAACAACAACAATGTATATGTATTTTTGTGTTTTAGAAGGAATTATTTATAATGCATCAAATGCATTCTTTCACATAAAATTGCTTATAAACTTTCCTTTTACAAAATATTTAAGAAACAAAGAACATGACTTAAAGAACAAAAGTAAGTTAGAGTGTACGTGGTGGACAGATAAGACAAACATCGCCAGCAGCACGTTTCTCAAGTCCATCCCTGATATCTTTACAGGCTTGATCTGACTAATTCAGGAAATGTGCAGCTGGAGTTCAGCTGGATCTCGGAAGAGACTGGGAAAGGTGTTAGTTTTGCAATGCCAGAGAGCCAAGGTAAATGCAATGACAGGTAAAATCAAGGGCTTGCATTGAGTCCCCATTAGTAGAGGGGCGTTGATCATGAAGACGCTGGTTCTGTTTTAATAGTCTCCTAAGAACTCACAGAAAGCAGGGTCTCGTGGTGTCTGCAAAGGCCAGTGAGCCTAAGAAACTCTAGAACTGGCTGGCCTTGCCGTCCTAGATCTCAGACTCAGGTCCCCCACTAAGCCAGCATCCTCTCTACCAGATCCCTAGGAACCTCCTCTTTTAGGCCTTAACCTTCTGAGAGCAACAGGCCCTTTTGAGAAGCTGATGAAAGCTGTGAACCCTCTCAGCTTAGGAAAATAAACTCATACTCAAGCTTGCAGTAAATGTGCTTGAAGCACTTAAAAGAGGGCCCCCTGCATGTGGTAGGACAATATTCATTGTTAGAGGACTGCAATTTCAGAAATCCACAGACTTTTTGAACCTACCCAAGAATGTGAACTCGTACTCTACAGCAGTGATGTCCCCAGCCCATCATTCTGAGGTGGAAAATACATCCACAGAAAATACTTCACCTACCCCCATAGAGTCACAGAAAAAGAAACAAAACAAAAGGAAACAAATTTGAAAACATTATAAAATTAGTAGAAGAGTTTTTCATAAGTCACCTTTGCCAGAGCTGAGTCAATTCCTTACACATCATTCCCGCAGTTAAGTGCAGCTGATACAAGAGGTCAGCCCACAGAAACCTGTCGGTGGACTGCCTCACTACTCCCAACCTGCCTCTCACTGCACCTGGGGGACATCCCCTGCTCTCTGTCTGCCCACAGGTTTCGCTAAGAAGGATCAGCTTAGCCAGGGCACGCTGCACACAGGCAGCTCTCTGGATAGTGCCACGGACCACTGGAATGATGGGGCCCCATCACCCTTCTCTGTGGAACCCTCCTCAGGCATCGTGCCTGTTGGGAAATATCAGAAGATCAAAGTAAAATTCTCTCCATTGGATGTTGGGGACTTCGAGAGTAATCTTTTATGCCAGTAAGAAAAACACACACCCCAGAACCTTCCATCTTGGCAGGGCCAAAGCTCTGCAGTTCTTAACCTTTCTTCTCTCCCCCACCATTCTTTAACCCCTTACAAACACACAGAGAGAGAGGGAGAGAGAGAGCCCCAAATTTCACCTTTCCCTTAGGGAAGATTTTAAAGGACCAGCCTTTGGAAAACAAGGAGACTTTGGCCTCCATACTGTTCCACAACTTTCTCTAGACTCTTCTCCCTACTCTTTCCACCACTCCCTTCCCAACTCCCTACTCATCACCCCCTTCCCAAGCACACATAGGATTATGCTGAAACCCAAGTGGATTCCACTCTTTGGGCAAGCATGGACTTGGGCAAGGTTTCTTGTACATTCCCTGAGAACTCAACTGCCTCATATATGAACTGTAAATAGCAATACCCACTTTGTAGAGTTAAGATGAACATAAAATGAGTTAATTCAAATAAAGAGTGTAGAAGGGTGTTTGACACACAGTCGCACAAGAAAGCATTGTGTAGCAGGGGACCAGGTAAGCAAAGATTAAAACATGTTCAGGCCCATTCCAAGAAAAAGCGAATCCAGTAACATTTAACCATGAGAGTCCTTGCTGTAGCACTCACTCCCAGAAGGTCTCAAAGGAGATTATTCACCTACAGAAAACGTCTGTGAATTGTGGTGTAGGGTGACAGACACCTATGTGAGCCATTCCCTCCAGTCACACCACAGGGATCAGCTTATGTCCCTTTCACTTTCTCCAAGAAGCTCAGGTTTTTTAGTAATTCTAGGTCTGTTTCACATCCCACCAGATCCCAGAGGATAAGACTCTTCCCATTTCACAGGAGGAAGATTTTCTCACCACTGAGGAAGGCTATAACTTGGCACCAATAGTTAGGGACATAGAAGGAACCACAATTCAGGTTCCCCATACACAATCCATTCATCATTCATCAATTAACTCATGATGACCTTAGAGAGGACCAAGCACTAGCCAAGGTGCTGAGGTCATAGTGTTGACCAAGATAGATTCAATCTCTGCTCTCAGAGAGCTCACCTTCTAGTGGCTTGTAGTAATTCATTTCCAACCAACTAAAGAAGCAACAACTGAGTGAGGAATGAATAAAAATAATCTTCTCCTCTTAGGATTCGTAACCTACCACCTGGAGAGCAAGGCCCAGTTCTGGTAGCAAAAGGGAGAAGCCTCTTGCCCTTCTGCCATTTTGACTTGAAAGAATCAGACTATATCAGCGGTCATCGGCGCAACTCAGAGCTCCGAGGACCTAGTGGTGGGACTGTGGACCCGAATACTAGGGTGATTGAGTTTGCTACTGTGGGCATAGGAGGGAAGAATCTCCGGTGAGTTGCTTTGGTTTGCATTGGTTGGGTTCATAACAGTCACTCTTTCTAAAGAACTCAGAGGAACTTCAGAGGTGCTAGCAAGACTGATTTCCTAGAAGCGGGCTTAATATTCTGGGGATGACCTGAATTTTAGAGATTTGGCTTTAGAGAATTGTTAAACTAAGGCTGCTGAATTTTGTCTCCTTGGTTTTCATACTGGTGAAAATTTAGAAGACATAAAAATACAATCCCTGACCACCACCTTGACCACAAAGCCACAGTGGAATGAAAGTGCCCCTGGTACCATTGTTAACCTCCAAACACAGAGTCACAGCCATACTGTGAATCCCAGATGAAATGGAGTTTTCATTTATACTATACTGTTGTTGTTGTTGTTAAGTGCCGTCAAGTCGGTTCCGACTCATAGCGACCCTGTACAGGGTTTCCGAGGGTGTAAATCTTTACGGGAGTAGAAAGCCTCATCTTTCTCCCGTGGAGCGGCTGGTAGTTTCGAACCGCTGACCTTAAGGTTCGCAGCCCGATTCGTAACCACTACGCTACCAGAGCTCCAGAGCTCAAAATACTTCTGATCCCAGACATTCCTCTGCACTAGGACCAGGTTCTAAGAATGTTTTCCCAATCCTCAACCCCCTTCTCACTTCCTGTTGTCAATTCTTGACCTCCATCTTGGACAGGACCTTCACAATTATGAACCCAACCAATGCTGCCTACTCTTTCTGCTGGATCTCTGATGACATTGAAAGTCTCCAGAATCCTCCAGCTTTCACATGCCTTACGGAGAAGGGCTTCATCCACCCTGAAAAGAAAGCTGAGGTATGTCCAAATGTGGACCACTCAACCCAGGGTTTCAATCATTCTAGTCTTCACTATATAGCAACTATGCGTGCCATAGACTTTAGGGGGAGAGCAGCCTAAAGGGCTTCCTTCAACAGGTATTTACTGAGTAACTACCATAGTACTGGGCGATCTTGATGAACAAGGCAGACCAGAACTCTCTTGGCTGTCCATAGAAAAACAAAGAACTCTAATATGTACAGTTATAAAAACTGAAACTATTAAATCAAGAAAAGGGAGCCAGCCCCCAGCAAGAGCACCAAGGAGCCAGCCAGCCGTTTCCACAGCAGAGAAGACTTTAAGAACGGTTTAACCCTTAGAGAACTGGTTAAACTCCAGAGACATTCTGCTGCTTTGCTTGTCGGGCGTGGGGAAGGGGGAGTTAATAGATGTTACTGATTTTGCAATC